GAATCAGAGCAACAGAATGTGGACATGGAAGATCACGATGATGATGATGATGCTGAAGATGAACCGGAGTTTTTGCCAAGACTACAAGTTTTTGTCAGGAAAGAGGAGGAAAAGGCATCAGGCTCTCAGGAAAGAGAGGAAGAAGGTGTAGGCTCTCAAGAAAGAGAGGAAACACAACCACAACAAGAAGATGAAGTATTATCAGATGCAAATCCTCGAAGAAATCCTGAAGACAAACAGGGACTGTTTTTAGTCAGGCAACTCAAACCAGAGCACAGACAGATCCTCCATGACATTACACTCGCAGGCCAAAGAATCCTTCCAATTGATGATCTTGAAGGAGGTCAACCCCTTGAACGTGGTGACATAAGCTACTTTTCATTATGGTTGATGATGGCGGCATTATCAGATGCTTCTTTTTCAACATTTATGGAGCAGTATGCACCTATAATGGGTTATGAGATCTCCTACGACAAGTATCATGAGTTCAAACTGGATATTGACCAAGTTCTCAAGGACAATGAACACCTCGGCGCAGAAAATTTCTGGGGAGCAGAGGATCCAGATTTGGTGGACGATGATCCTAACACACCTCTTCCAGACCTTCAAGGACAGAGCGCTGGTGATCCTGAGTACAAGCACACTATTGAAAGTTTGAACATTGAGGACAAGCATATCATTTTGGAAACTGATGATGACAAATTGGTTGAGTGTACATTGAAATGGATCAGTATGTGCAACAAGAATGTTCAGCAAAAGATCAAAGACAGTTTTGTCAAACCAGAAGAACGACAAGTGGAAGAAGATGAAGAAGAGGAGATTGTTGTCGAAGAAGAAGAAGAAGAAAAAGACACACAGGAGCCACATGTCCCAGCTGAAAGCTCTTTAGAAAAAGAGGAATCAGCTCCACCTGAACGCTCCTCAGAAAAGGAGGAATCAGGGGAGAAGAAAGCAGACATTCAAGATGATGAAGCAGCTCCTGAAGTGAAACCTGCAATTCGACTTTACTATGGTCAAGATATCACTGGAAACGAAGATGATTCAGTTTTTCGAAAATTGAAGGATTGTTTTTCAGATGGTTACCATGGTGAATGGGCAGGATTTTACAATAAAGGTTATCCAGCGTCTTCGAAGCATCGACACATGTTCTGGCATGTCAAGTACAGGAAGACTATGTCTCCACATCAAGATTATTGGTACCATCTTACAGATGACCAGTTGATGATTGAGTACATTGCCAGACACAAGGATCAAAATCCACAACTAGAACTACAAGAACTCAATAATCACATTGAATATGGTTGTAGTGATCCAAGGATGCATCCTCTTCATCAAGACAAGGCAGAAAGATCCTCAAAAGAAGCAGAAAAGAGGATTGATGACGATTTTGGAAATCTCACAAAGGTACTCCAAGATTACGTTGAGGACCACAAGGTCTTGCCTTACTGTATGATCTTGCATAGCTTGGCTTACAGATATTTAGGTGGAGGCCTATCAGACCCAACATACAAGGATGCCGAATTTCCATACAGATCCTCTCCACAGATAACAGCAATGTTTTGGAATTTGGGAAACTGGTGCAGAAACAGATTTGAAAAATGCCCGGTTCCAGAAAGATTTCAACAATTCATTCCACACATTGACTACACTATCGATGAGGATCATGAAAAATTTGATGAAACCAAATCACAGTTCAACAATTACTTCATCAATGTCATCAAGAACTTTGGAGGACATCTTTTCATGAATTGCGAGGCTGGTTCATTGTATCCTCACAGAGAAAGACTCGACGAGGTTGACTTTAAAACTTGCTTCAATGACTATCATGACTTGATGGTGGCAGCTCGCCTTGGAAAGGATGGCTATATCAAGCAAATTGCTGGATATCAAACAGATGACAACGACACACGAGTTCGACAAGTCTCATGGGCAATCTTCGAAGTATCTTGGGGAAAGACAAAGGATCGAGATACAGATGAGATTGTTGACTTGACAAGAGCTAGGATGAGGATGACACGTGTGTGCGTTTATCACGTCGGACAGAAGTATGCATCAGACTCCGCTGGTATTGTTGGTGAGTGCTTAGCTGTTATGGCTTTTGAGTGTGCCAGATATCAAGTTGACTTCATCGCAGGTGATGGAAACAAGGCATGCTATTACAGCACACCAAAATCTCCAGGCGTCCCTACATATCAACACAGCCTGATCCAATTCTGGATTAACAGAATGGTAGGTGTTGCAACACAAGCCATGCGCAAGCATTTTGATCCATCTTGCCCTCCAATCAGGGTCAAGCATTTCATTTCTTGCAGTTATCGTGACTTGGATTTTCTTGCAACGCACTTGGATGGCATTACAACAGCAACATACACCGACGAGCTCATGAACAAGACAAATGGTAAAGGTGATTGCTGTATGTTAACAGTTGTTGAGTGGGGTCATTCACGTCTGAAGTGTGAGGAACACCCAGAAGACTTTGATGATGAAGATCACATGAACTATGTGGGTGAATTTTACTTCAAGGTAAATGAAACTTGCTTACATGGTGATCACAACATCTTCATGGTTGCCCCAAATGATCGTGATGCTCACAATCCAATTCTTGTTCATCTTGATCCTTCTGATATGTCATGGAATGAACGACATCATTACAAACAGGCTTTCAAGAAGAAGCAGTATGCAGATACAAGAAAGGAAAGACAGAAGGAGAAAAAAGAGAAAGGCATATGAAGATCAAGCATCAACGTATCAGGGCAACGCAAGTTGGGGTGGATCCTCATCTTCTTCGTCCAGACCATGGAGAACAAGCTTTTGGCTATGAGTGAGTGTACACTTCTTTAAATGAAGATAACACAGCATGAGAGGCCGTGTACAGTTTTTCTGTGCATCAACGTATTTCACACAGATGGTATATACTCTTTTAGATAGAGATAATGCCACAAGTGTCTGAACTTCAATTTAATGTAAAATAGATACTCTTGTAAATAGAGATACTATACACATTTATCTCCATGAACCATCCTGCGAGCAGACCATTCCGAATGGAGCGAACTCCAAAAATTACCAACTTCGATTTCAGTCCATTGTTCGCTTGAATGAGCAACTTTGGAGATCCGCTATTTCCGTTTATTTCGTGATTTGGTCAATTGTTTTTCGTATGACCTGAATTTCTGAATCTTGCAAACCCGAACTTTTCAATTCGAACTTTCACCGGTAGAGCGAGGCATTTTGCCTATGGAGAGACCGTGCGCGAAGCACCATTGGTCGCTACTGGAAAAATTAGCGAATCCGCTGTTCTTTTTCGACATGTCCTTAGGACATTCGCTGCTTTCACGTGTTTTTCAATTCGAAGCCACTGCGTAACTCCGGTTTCTTTTGCTATTTGCCATTGTGTAGAGAAGTCAGGAAGATACTCTTAATACCAATTGGGTACGGCAAGGCGTAGTGCTCTACTCATTGCTTTTGAATTTGTGCCTGTGTTTTTGTTTCGACCTAATACCTACATAGGTACATGCATGAGTATTGAGCACATTTATATGCGCCCTTCAAGGCTCAAGAGGTATATAGAGTAACCCTGTAGACAAGCACAGACCGGCAACAGGCTGAGTAAAAGAGTGCTGTCATTGGGGAAGACGCCTTAGCTGATCTTGAAGTAGACGCTAGGGCCCCTCTTCAGCCCTCCCCCCAATCCCCCCTCCCGCTTTTTTAATTTAAACTTAAACCCAAGTTACATTAGTTGGTTTTTGCGAACTAACCTTCTCTGGAAAGCTGACAGGATTACATGTGATAGATAGATAGATAGACATGCTCACATGTAGAACATCCCATGCAAAATGGAAGGTGAACATGCCAAAATGTGGCAAATACGATACAAAATGGAAGGTGAACATGCCCACATGTAGGAAATCCCATGCAAAATGGAAGGTGAACATGCCAAAATGTGGCAAATACCATACAAAATGGAAGGTGAACATGCCCACATGTAGTAAATCCCATGCAAAATGGAAGGTGAACATGCCCAAATGTAGCAAATACCATGCAAAATGACAAATTCAAGTTCCAAACCGTTGCAAACACTAGGCAAATGGTACCAGCCAAGAAATCCAAAAAAAAAATCCCAAACCTGCTCAAAAAAAAAATCCTAAAACTATTTCACACCCGTTTTGGGCTGTGTCAAATGATCGAAATCAAAAATAGTTGTCGCCACTTCGGCAAGTCCAAACTTGTCCCTGGACGGACTTCGCAGTCCGCTTGATTTGTTTGATCCAATTGGATCCGATGTCGCCGATGTGTTAACGAGGCCCCTAAAGGAGCCATGTTTTGTGCGTGTTTTTTTTGGCAATGCGATGATGACTGGCAAGTAGAATCTATAAGTGGAACAAGAATTTCCAGTGTAGGTTAAGTGGCAGTTCTGGCGGGGATGACTGATGAGTGAAACTTTAAGTGTGACTGACAGACAAGGCCTGACGGCATAAAAGTCCAGGTATAATTATACATAATTATATATTATAATATATTATAATATATTATGCCCACTTCCCAAATGGAACCACACACACCCAAGAATCTTTCAGGCTCGCATTATTGTCAGCTGCGTCAGGTTGGGACGCCTATATCAAGCTGTTCACTTTGCTATTCCCGAGTTCCAGGCTCCGGGTGTGATGACGCAATGTCCAGTGTAGGTGGGGATGGCGCCTAGTGGTGTACCCCAACAACCCCCGTTCAATGAGCCAATAAAGATATACCCTGGTTGATTGGGTGATATAGAGACTTTTACTAGTTACTAGCTCATTGATTGGGGATTGCAACAAGCCACAGAACCCACAGGGAAACCTACCAACCAACTACAATGAGGTGGGATAGGGGGTATCTTTGATGGCCAAAGAGCAACAATTTGCGCTAGCAGAGCTGCCACAAAAGGTGTTTTGATCTCACCTCAGACCTGCGGACACGGAAAATATTGGTCTTCACCTCCGGGATCAAGGCCACTACTACCTGCAATGTGGGAAGCTGGCATTCGCATGGAAACAAACTATCGGGCGTGCTCTTTTCCAATCACACCTGACCGGATCACGAATCTGTGGCAAACAGGGAAGGTCTCGAAGGACACCGCAACCCAAGAATATATGCGAGCAAAAAAGCATGTGAAGGCCTACTTGGACAACGTGGAGTTCCATTCCAGATTTGAAACCAACTTTGCCTTGGCAAGCCTTGGTGCCATTGCGTTCGCGCGCTCACCGCATCAAGTGGCGCCCACTGTGCCCTGGCGGCGTTCAAGTTTTCTTAGGCGCTTGGTTCCCCAAACAGTGTGATCTTACGGTAACAGTAAAGGCCGCTGCTTGTTCAGGGTGCTCCATTTGGCTTCCGTTTTTTTTCCCTGCAAATTCTCCCACAAAATTGCTCTTGTAAGACATGTTCAAGTCGTACATTCACTGGCACGTAGGCAGACATATGATGCAACATATCACGCTACGCTGAGGATGTTGTATGTCACGCATGGGGTGGGGTGGGGTGGGGTGACTCAGCTTGAGTCGCAATGCCAGTGATCCCATCGAACATAGACATGGCTGTGCACGGCCACAACAAAAACCCAGGACTCGTGAAATTCAGGTCTTTGCTTTCCCGGGACTCTTGTTAGCTTTAAGCTTTGGTCCTGTCAGTAAGGTCTTTGCAAGCGCACCGTGGGACAGTTAAAAAGAACTTCCACAGAGAACATGAAAACCAAGAAATGGAAGTAGAAGACACAAAAAACCCTGATTATCAAGACACCGCTCGGTTCACAACGTTACAAAAAAACGCAAATACCATTATAGAAGAATGGCCTATCTCATTTTGATTGGAGTTTCTCAGTGAATTTTGTTTTTCATATAAACATGACTATGTTAAAACAAAAAACAAAAAAAAGGAAAATCAACAATTCCACTAGAGGTCCCAATGAAGAGTACATGTTGTCGGTCAACTTAAACGGACGAGAAAAAAAACGTCCGTCAAACATCAAATTGCCAAAACAATCCCGATGCTCAAAAATGCGCAAATTACCACAGTGAAACCACAATTTTGAACATTACCAATCACCAAAAAAACTGACGTATCGAAGAACTTGGATCCTCTAGCGTGTATATATCTATATATATATATATACATATTACCAATTTAAATTCTCATAGGGTTTCAACCACACTCCCAAAGATTACCCCTCCCAGATCTTCAACAAATCCTTCTAAGTGGTTGTGTGAGGTTGGGCAACGATTACAACCCGGTTGTGTATAAAATGAATAAATATATGTATATATATATATACACATATTATATACATGTTTAATATAAGATATAGCCTAGGCATATGTTGGTTATGAAGCACTTACAGTTTCTATGATACACCCCCTCTAAAGGCCGGTGATCAGAACGGCCAGATCTTCCGCGAAGTCTTTCGCCGCTTGGGTCCACCGTGGAGACGTTTTTGAAAAGTTGAAACAGCCACAACTCTTGGGAAATGTGATGATGAACCAAAGCATTTGGGTATGCCATGGTCCCATGGTATACCTTACCCATAGGATCCATGTATGCTATATATGGTAACATGGATCCCATCAATATACCCCCAATGTTAGCATATATACCAGCACCATGGATCCTATGGGTTATAGGTCATATACCACAATAGATCATATTTGTTGTCTGAAAATTGGATACCCGAGGGTAAACGTTTACGTAGATATGGAAAAATGCAAAAAACCCACCATGAATGTAAATCATTTTCCCATGGAAATCACTGGTTGTGCACATCGATATTCGTTTACACAACAGGGTATAGCATATATGCGATGATAGGATCCCTTTGAGAGAAGAATGGGATCAGTGAGAGAAATTATGGGTGAATTATATATATATATATATACTGACTGGTTGGTGGTTTGGAACATTTTTTATTTTTCCCAATAGTTAGGATGATGATCCAATCTGACTTTCATATTTTTCAGAGGGGTAGGTATACCACCAACCAGTATATATCATATGTGGACAACCCAATAATAAACCTGCCATTTGGAGATGGTTTACACTAGCCATTGAAATTTTGGTGAGTTTGGGATGGTTTATTCGATTGGGTTTATCGGGGATAGCCATAAAGTAGCAATCTTTAAGACCCTTTTCAAACACAATCAAATATTCATATATATATATGTAGATATATATATATATACATATTTATGTAGAACATTATACATATGATACATATGTATTTACTCCAGGATGATGGGTTTTGGAAGTTTGTTTAACCCCCCTGGAAGTGGTTCAGGCTTACCGATGTTGGGTATTATCATAGTCCAGGAGCTGCAGTGATGGCCCTTAACAGTGATGACAATGGGATTGTAACTCCTGCAACTAGTTGGTTATATTGTACATATATATATATATATGTAGATGTATATCTATATATATATATATATACATATTTACTTAAATGGTGTTTTAAGCAAGTTGTCATTGTGAAGGGACTGTCAGAATGTCCAATCAACAACATGTTTTTTGTTGAGTTCATACAAGGGTTTTGACATGTCTCACCTGAGGAAAGCGCAATGTGAAGTTTAAAGAGTTTGAGACATAGGCGGGCGCGCTTGCGCCAGGGTGGGTCCAACATCCAGGGTTATGCGATTCCAAATCTGCAGCACACCTCTGAATAGTAACATGGAATTCAAAAGCTGCAACTTCCAATATGTCCAGTAACAGCAGAATTTTCCAAACCCATTTTTTTTGGGCTCCATGTTGGTGTTTGGGTCTATCATATTTTTTGACTTTGGGAAGATGCTGCACTGATCTGTGATCTGTGAAAAGCCATCTGATGGGTCTGCAATAGGTATGAATCAAAAATCCTGGGAGATCCTGGCCTGTTTGAATACTAATTTAGTGTTCAAAACCCTTGTTAGTCTGTGTTAAAAAAAACTGATTATATGTTTACATAATTGTACATATGGGATTATATATATATATATACACGTATAGATAGATATATTTGAATATGATATATAAGAAAGTAAACTAACATTACATATATATATAGTGTATATACACTAGATTATCATCTCCATTCCGGGAATTCCAATTGAGCAACGAGTCTAATGTCATGACAGAAGGGTTTTGAACATGTCTCAATTAGTGATATCTACCAATCATCCTTTTCTGGTGAGGTGCAAGCAATTACGACCCACTGCACCTACCTTCAGAAAACACGTTTGGACATCCGATAGGATTTACTAGCAGAATGATTTGCAAATGGTGGGTTTGAAGGTTAAGAAGAGATTGTTGCAAGAAAAGAACTTACCCTCTGATAAATTAACATAGACCCTGAAAATAGCCTAGTTTTAATGGAAACTAATCTTCCAACCCCTATCTGCCAGGGTCTATGTTAATTTACCACAGGGTAAACCAGCGAACCTTTGGTTGGGTTTTGGCCTCTGGTAATCAAACATGGCGTGCAGGAAAATCCCCCAATTAGTTCCATGATTTTCTCATATAAATGCACACATAATGCACATTTAGCTCTGGGATTTGCCAGTTTTCCGCCATGTTTCATGACACCAGAGGGCAGCCCATCAATGTCCCTATTATCATCCCTCTATCATCCCGATATTATCCGAATTAGACCTTATAAAATCGTATAAATATCGATAAATGGATAAACATGGGATTATCAAACACATGGGTGCAACCAAGAACATCAAAAACATGAAAAAAACTAAAGACCGATTATCCTCTGGTAAACTAACATTACTATGGACAATCACCATTTTATACCTGGGTAAATCCACTATTTCGACTGGGCCATTTTCAAGTTCGCAAACTGTTAGTCATTACCAGAGGATAAATCATCCCATTCCGATCCCCCGTTAATAGATGATACCCTCAGTTCCTTGCAGATCGCCTCTTTCGCAAGGTCCTGGCCTTGCGCGATTGACCGGAGCTCCCGCAAATGTGGGAGAATCCCAACGGCGGTGCAGTTGGGCATGGCTATAACCATGGCTATAACCATGGAAAACTTAAGGGCCGTTGGGAGGTGTTTAGGCCTTTCCTGGCCCTGATGTCAGCAACTGCACCCCGTCCAGACCTAAGGATCCAGAAACTCATGGAGATCAGCTTGAAAGTGGCTTGATGGGCTCTTGGGCTCGTAGTCTATTCTATACGTTCGCTGCCCCCCCAGTTATGCATGTTGGTTTATAACATTTTAGAACCACTACCAAGTTCCTTGTACCTCCACTTGGTTTATATCTACCATAAACTTGCTTTATAGCCACTATAGCCATGTTTGGTGGTAGATATCTCCAAGCTATCTCCATGGGTGCCGTTGTGATTCTTAGGGCTCAATCCGTCTAAGTCTCACCAAGGAAAAGGGCTGGGAGTGCGTCCGTCTCAGGGTAGGCATGTCATTGTTCGATCCGCATGGAAGAAATGACGGAAAATGATAGAAGTTGGATTTAACCAGCAAAAATGACATGTGGAGTGGATTGGATTGGTATATGGACGTATATGGATTGGTAGTTGATTTATTTGATAATATTGACGCACATAACTTGGTTCACGGTTACGGTTGATTAGGGAGATATAGTTACAGTTAATGTCTTTATAATGCTTTATAAGTTTATAAAGCAACAAAAACAATGCTAGGGGGCCTCACCTGTGCCGCGATGGCGCCAGTCAATGGAGTGGTACAGGAAAAATATGGAAAAATGCATTACCTGAAGCTATTTGCTAGCTGAAGTAGGTCACAAACCCTGCTGCAACGTGTTGATTGGGGCTCTAATCTCATTCCATGTTGCGGACAAGTTCTATCTGTTTTGCGACTCATAGACTCATAGCCGCATAGATGTCCTCTTTATACTCGGCACAAAGAAGGGCCCGCCAGTTGTAAGTTGGGTTTCAACCATTCAACTGAAGATACATTGACAAGAAATCCAGCAGTTACTGTATATAGTTATAAATCAACAGAAAGTCATTAATGCAAGCCTGGATTAATAAACCCCTAGGCTGTTTAATTGGGGGGTACCATTTCAGTAGCCATTTATCACTATTTGGGGGAACCACCACAATTAATCAACCAGGGTTTATTTATCCGGGGTTGACATTAGTTATAAATCAACAGAAACTTATTGATAAACATCAACTATCAATCCCCCAGTTGTTATATAATGTTATATCACCAGGTAAGCAAGTCAATAACAGCGGGGCGGTGCCCCTTTTTTTCTTTGCCGCTGCCTTTTAACAGCTGTCCTCGCAAGTGAAAAAGCCGAGCAAGCTGAAGTTGTCACGAGCCATTTGCCATGCTTCCTGGCACAGAAGCTGGTTCGAAGGAAAACAATGGGGAAAATGCTATATAATGTATCCTAATGTGGTTATACTAATGTGATTAAAACAATAATAAACCATGACACTCAAATTTACCGAAAATCTCACTGAATTGCAATTGAATTGGGTCATAGGTTATCTCACCATTTGATCAATGGCTTGGTTTACACGGGCAAATCGACAGGAACAACAAAGAAGCATTTTTCATGTTTTTTTCCCAGCAAATATGATTTTGTTCCTGTAGATTTTCCCTCAAACCAATCCAATGTGGTTGGTGGTTTGGAACCATGGAATTCTATGACTTTCCATTTCATATATGGGATGTCATCCTTCCCATTGACGAACTCCATCATTTTTCAAGATGGTGAAATTGCACCACCAACCGGCAATGAATAGACAAACTCACCCGTGTCCCCAGGATCTTCCCACATGCCCAAGGTTTCGCGTGTTGCTGGCGCTGGCTTCGGCATGGTGTGCTCTGGCAGTGACGTGGGTCAAGAGCCCAGGCGGAGCGAGCCTTGGACGTGGAGAAATGGATTCCAAGGGTGGATACAATGTAAATGATTGGTAAAGGTGGACATCTAAGATAGGATATATATATATGTATATATATAATTATCTACATATATATATATAAGGATATGTGATGATATAGATATATATATATATATATGGTGGATCCATGTTGTTGACTTCGATAAGTTGGTGATGTTGGTAGCTTTGGTCCCGTCTTTACCCATTCGAATGATGTCGAATGGTATGTGTTGATAGATCCAGCTGAACCTGGCCCAGCAGACTGCAGTGTGGTTCAACAACAAAAGCTGCAGAAAATCATCCATAACTATCATAACTGTGGTAGACCAGTAACTACTGTATCATAGATTTCATAACTATCATAGATATCATAGATAATGTGGCAAACCCAATAGTAACTAGGTCAATATTGGATCGGTAGAAACTAATCCAAAATAGTCTTTTGGTATCAATGGGAGTATCTATCATATAACCAGCTAAGAAGTTGTCACTGTTTGCGGGGTATCTAAGTTTGGCCATGTCTTTACTTCTTACAGTTATGGCCCGAAAAAAGTCGTGATAAGTCTTGAAATAGTCGCATATTTGGAATGATAATTTATGATAACCCCATTGAAATAACCATTTATAAGTGGTATTTCGGGCTTTAACTGTAGCAATGGTACTTTCTCCACAGGTATGGCCCTTTACCAGTTCGAAGTACTTATAGCCCCATTTTTGGAATGTATAAATTTATAAATCCCATTTAAAACCAGTTATAACCATTTATAATTGGTAAACGACCATAACTGCAGAAAGTATGGATTTTCTGTTGCGGTGCTGGATCCGTTGAAAGCAACGTGTCCAGATGGCTTATTATCACTGATTTGTAGCGGCACAAAAGTCACGCTTGCAAACGATGATAGGAATGTAATTATAGATTATAATCTGTATTTATACTGCACCCTGAAAGTCAAATGACTCATGATGACTCATTTTACCCAGCATAGTAGTGAACATCCATAATTAATCCAGTCGTAAAATGCGTCCTTGGTACTATATGACTATATGTATATTGGTTTCACTGTTGTGTTTTCCATACTGGGACACGACATCGGGGTGTAGCCAGTAAGCAGACGTCAGCAAAAAGCAGCAGTGACTTCTGTTAGTGGACTCGATTCGCGCAAACTCTGCAGCTGATCGCCGGTGTCAAGGTATATGCAGCAACCTGTATGCCACCAAATACAGGTACAATGTGAGGCCCCCCAGCTATAAGTTGGTTTATAAGCCCCAGTAACTATAGTTATAAGTACCATAAACGATAGTTATTGGAGTTATAAACCAACTTAGCTATCTTGTGGGCCTCACATTGTACGTGCAGCAAGTTGGTCATATTTCAAGATTGACCAGGGGGTTACTAACCCACAGAGTGTTCTTCATTTTCCCGGGCTACATCACCGAAAAAATCTCCATTCCCTTCTGCAGATTTCTGCAGTTATGGCCCGAAATACCAGTTATTAATAGTTATTATAAGTCAGTGAAATAGCCATCAATAATAACTGGTATGAAAAGATAACCTTTATTCGGAATAACCGTTTATATTCATGATGAAATAACATGAAATAACCCTGTTTATGGAATGATAATGCCAT